AATCTCCTAAGAGATGCTCAGATCTCTATGTCCCATTTGCTAACAGGGTGGGGAGGGGGTAGGATGTTTGATTCTCAGCCCGTACGCTGGTAGGCTCATTACCGCCTACCAGGGAGGCAAGCTAGTTGCTTGGTTTCCCAGCACCCCAAGTTCCAACATAGCGCGGATCTCTGGAGTCAAATTAATTATTGATTTAACACGGATAAATTTTAAGATAATTGTGCTGAACGAAAGAAACCAGGTAAAGGTTAGCAATACTGTAAGCTTCTACCCATATAAATATCTTGAAAACACAAACCAATATACAGCAACAGAAGGCAGATCTGTGGTTTCAGGGGAAGATGTAGGGAGGGGTAAGAGAACATTAGATAATTTTTATGAGTGTTAGATATGTCATTGACTGTGTTTGTGTTGATTGTTTCTTGAGCACAAACATGTGCCAAAATGCATTAAATTGTGCACTTTAAATATGTAAAAATTATTTTGCCAAGTATTCCTCAAAAATTTTTTTAAAAAATGCAACTCAGACCTCATTCACCTCAATTCTTTTTTTTTTTTTTCCTGTCTTTTTCCTTTTTATCGGTACCAGGGATCAAACTCATGACTGCCTGCTTGCAAGGCAGGTGCCTATGCCGCTGAGCTAAATCCCCAGCCCCTCACCTCAATTCTTGATTGAAATGAGATGAACAGTTTTTCTCTCTGCATAGCAAGGACAGGGGCAATCTTCATGGAAGATTAACATGTATATACTACAAATAGGCTTTTTCGTGTATGATGTCTCCCAAATAATAAGAAATATGTAGACCTGCAGGATTTGTATTGATTATGAAAATATTAAATATTGACTAATACAGTGGTACCTTGGTGCCTTCCCCAGTCCTGATCAAAAACCAAACTGGATAAAAAAGAAATATCAAATTCAATGGTAAAGTTTAGTACTGACCTTAAGGGAAACTTTGATTTGGTTCTCACCAATTTGATCTGTGACCAGAGTCGTGGAAAGAATTGAGTTCATGAGTTGAGGTACCACTGTAGATGCAAAGCCACAGATGACCTAGGAATTAATAGAGTCTTTTACAGGACTATAAAATGATTACTTTTAATATATTCGATAAATGGACATCTTCACAGAGAATGTGGCAGAATGAATTTTTAAGAAGAATCCAACAGATATCCATAACTGAAGAAATGTGTGCTTCTTTATAGGCATCTAAGCTAGACAGAAATTTATATACAGTCAGAGAGGAACTGGGTTCTCAAGGACATCAGCACAAAAATAAAAACATCAACGACCAGGACTAAAGATGAAGGTGCACTGGCCAAGCCTACATGCCTTCCTAAGGGATAAAGAATTGTAACTAGCACCACCTGGTCAAGCAAACCCAGAAAGGCATTAGTCCCCCAGGTGGGTGACCACAGCATCTGGACCCGTCCCTTCCCCAAAATACCTTTGTTCTTTCCATGTTCCGGTTACTTGACTCATTTCCCAATTTTGTCAATATTAGCTAAGCAGTTATACTTATAATCCAGAGGTTGATACTAGTTGTATAACCCATGCTGTGAAATTATCCCTGAGCAGGGATCTCAGTGGCCACCCAATTTGGGAGCCCTCCTGGAAATCCAGAAGCTGTTCTGCTCTACAGTGGAACTCCAGTTTCCAAAAGAACTCTCCTAATTTCTTGCTTTGATTCATGACTTCATTCCTTGATGTTAGGGAACCACAAACTTGGCACATCGAACATCTAGCAGGTTGGGAGTTGGTAATTTCTCCTATATCACTTCTAGTTATAGAAACAGTGAAATGGACCAATTTGGATTGCTTTCAAATAAAGGTTTCAGTAATGCTGGATAGAATACAACAAAAATGACATTAAGCATTAGGGAAAAGAGAACTTCCCAATAGAAGAAATAAAGAGGAACTTTAAAATCAAAAGAATAAGCTTATTAGCTGACTGCACATTTCTCTGAAGGGGATGGAATTTTACTATTGATTTATGTCAAACATTAGACTCTCTGTTTGGTGACATGGTATAAAAGCTTTTAGAAGTGCTGCCTCTTCTGTGATGAAAGTTGGGAAGATATGGATCACAGAGAGATTAAAGGTCATTGGTTGTAAGGACTCTGGTTTCTTCACTGAGTGAAGCAGGAAGCCACGGCAGAACATTGAGCAGACAACTCCCCTTAACGTAATGAAAAGGATCATTTAGACCTGCATGTTGCAAGTTCTTATAGAAGAGTTAGAAAGATCATCCTAGCACCAAGGAGCTCAGTGACTAAGTTACATCACTCATGATTGTTTGCAGCAGTTGCTGAAGCGGCCCAACCAGATTCTTTCACTAGCCAGTACCCCTTCCCAGCCACTGAGGATGCTGACCAGGGCTCCCGTTCCTTGAGAACTGCCCTTGATCAGCCACTTCCACCCTACAGTGACAAACAGTCATGCTCCTCCCCAAGCGTGGTGTGAGTCTGTGGAGATGTGTGTGCTGGAGAGCTTCCTGTGAGGTCAGAATGAGTTTGCTAGTTTTTCCTCTGCATGGGATGCTTCCCAGTCTCTTCCCTTCTTCCAATATTTCCCTTCCAGTAAGCCACTGCAACAGTGCTCAGGTCAGGCTCCACTTCCATGTGAACTGTCCTAAAACAGCAATGCTAAAGCAATCTTTTTATTTACATCCTTAATAAAATCCACCCTCATACATTTCTCTCAAAATCAAAGGTTGGTGTCTCCAAACTCTTTGTGCTAACTCTTCAGCTCCATGGACACTGGTAAGGCAGATTTGCATGCACAAACTCTCCAACATGTATGCTTGGCCCTATTCTGCAATCAAAAAGATGGTTTTAGTATAAAATCTAACATTATATTTCAGTTTTACTATTCATCTATTATAATTTTATTATGAATGCACACCCACAGTAATCTCGGTCAGACCATATTTCAATTCAATTGAAATATTAAATCTGCATGCAAATCTGCCTATTAATTTAAAAAGCAAGCCATAACCACACAATGCTCCACATTCCAATTCTTACCCCAGAAATAATGCAGTAGAAACCTGGACAAAATCTTCGAAATGTACAAAATATGTATCCTAGGTAGATAACAGAGAAAAATAGTTCTTCTAGTTATACAAAGGAAAAAGACAAAAAAAAAATACAATGAAGAAAACTTTTGCTCCAAAGAAAGCAGATGGAAAAGATCCTGGAAATGTTAATACATTTCCTTTGTATCTCTGGAGCCCTAGAACTTCTTTCCCTTGAAATGTAAATATAACTCCTGAGTCAAACGTATTTCTCCAGAATTCTCTTCCTACTTACACAGTTGTAAATTAATTTTGTACAACTTGCTCTTACCCCATGATAACAAATTACCAGCAAAATTTATTCAAAAGCTCCACCTCTTAGAAAAACAAGAATATTTTCTCTACGCTCCAAATGTATCTGCCTCAAAAACCAGCAGAATCAGATCTTACCTGATTACAGGTTGTGGGAGGTCACCTCCTCCAGGACATCTGTATGCCCAGCTTGGACATAATGGCTCTCCTTCCACAGTACATTATTTCTGGGTGGCACTGTCACCAAAATGGGTTCAAAGAGTTTCTGGAACAGATAAGAAACCTAACACCCCTAAACATGAAGTTTTGGAGATTAGCTGACTCCTGGCACAAAGAATTTTCAGCACTAGTCAGTAAGAAACACAGAAGGGTTTTAGTAAGCAGAAATAAGAGTGTGAGCCCTCAAGAAAGAGAAATGCATGAGACAGGGTTGGAAATATATATGGAGATTTGGGAGTGTTTTAAAATGGGTGATCTAGGATGTGCTTTTCTACTTGTCTGACAGGTTATTCATCTGGAGAGCTGTATGAGAAAGCAAGACATTTACCTGGGTTTGGGGTTGAGATAATGCTGTCCGTTAGTATTGTCCTTGATGGAGGAGGGAGTGCAATTTATAGGTGAAAAAGACAGCTTTAGGGTCCAATTTATTCATTCTTTCTTTAAGACCCTTTGGTTTGTTTTTTGTTTGTTTTAATTTTTTAGAGTTTTGTTTTGTTTTAGTGAGTTTCCTGGAAGGGAAAAATGATAAGTAACTTTTGCTATCCTGAATTGCTCTTTGTTTTGTTTTAAGTATGATTTTAAAATCCTTAATGACTTGCCTCTTTTTAAAAAACTTTATCTGTCTACCTCAGCATAATGTTGTATTGCTTATTTTACCAATAAGACTATTTCAATGGAAATAAAATAGCTAATGAGGGCTGGGGATATAGCTCAGCCACACAAGAATCTGCCTGGCAAGCACAAGGTCCTAAGCTTGATTCCCAGTACCAAACAAATAAATAAGTAACATAAAATAGTTCATGTATACAATATACACTTTGGCAAGCTCTTGGCAGCTTTAATTATGAAAAAATCTATTGCCATGCAGAAACAGCCTATCACTTATGTTTGGTTAAATTATGAATAATAATACTACTTATAAGTTAATGAAACCAGCATTCTTGCTCTAATTCTGCTGCATAAAATTATTCATGAAAATAGTAAAAATCTATTTATAAGAATTTGTTAAAGTGGGTTTTTTTTTCAGTATGAACTCAGTATTGAACCCAGGGAACACTGAGGTGTATCTCCTTCCCTTTTTATTTTGAGATAAGATCTTGATATATTGCTGAGGCTGGCCTTGAACTTGGGTTCCTCACCTCCCAACTTCCTAGGTAGCTACAATTACTTGTGTAGACCATTATTCCCTGCTAAAATAGTTCTAATTACACTAAATATCCCATGCTTTGTTCTATAGTTTAGAGTTTTAAAAAATACTTTACTTAAAAGACACTATGGGAAAGGATTTTATTTTGGTGGAATAATTCCTAAATAAAATCTCATGCATGATTGTATAAGCAGGATCCCAGAAATGACAGTCAGCATTTCCAAGCTGAAGAAGTTAAGAGGCATTACAGACATGGACTAGTTTAAAAAATTTAAAAATTGGATTTTGAAAACAACCAGAGAAAATTCCTGTGCAGTCATATACATTTATTATGTAGCTTAAGCAGATAAGTAGTAAACAAATTCATAATGAAAATTGCCTGCCCCAGATTAGCAGCTGGCCATGCATACAACTGTGTGTGAAAAACCAAGTTGTTTCCAATACCAGTATGTAGGTTTGATTCGTTCATGAAATTAACTGGATGATGTTCTGTTAACACAGTCAAGGCCACCATGAGATCTGTTAGTGTGGCATGTAAAATTCACTGGCCATCTCAGCTCAAAGCTGCATGATCATCACCTGCATAGACAGCATGGCAAATAGCATTTTCCCTGTTCTAAAGCCAATGAAGCAGCAGTGTGACACTGATTAACACCAGCACAAAGACACGCAGATGATACCCTCTCGTTCAGATAACACCTTTTTTACATTGCTGGGGATAGAGGTGCCATGCACTATACCATGAATTGATAGTCCCTCTGAGAGGGACAGAGCTATACCTACATTTGAGAATAGGCAGTTGGAGAACCTCTAAAGAGTTATTTCAGCAAAACCCAGCAAAAATGCCCACCACAGTGACTATATGGGTCCTAATAAGTAAAGATCTCCTCACTAACGTATGGCTCAATTAAGGACCGAGTGGAAGATACACAGATTCAGGGATCCAACAGAAACGAAAGGCAGTGCCTTCTTGTTTAATGCTTTCTTGTGTCTCAGCTCGCCTTAGCTGCAAAGTCACACATTCACGAAGTGTTAGTGCTGGGGGAGATCACCTACTCCAGGTATCACTCACCACTAACACTGTTGCATCCCAGAGAAGCAAAATAGTTTGCTAAAGGTATAGCATGAGGGTGGCAGGGCCAGATTAGAATGTAATATGCCAGTCCTCATTCAAGAGTCCTGACCTATTTGGACAAAGTTTCAACAAGGAGGATGAGATAGTGCAAATACTATCCCTAACAAAAAGAAAGAAAGAAACTCAGTGTGTTAAAAGGCAAACAAAGCTTGATAAACACCAACAATGAAAGACTCCAACCGTCTTCTGAGGGAGACTCTCTCCTCTGTCTCCCTTGCATATACACACACTTTGGTGAATGGAGCTTTCTTGCTATGGAAAGACAGAACCTACATCTTCAGAAACACAGAGATGCTTCTCAGACCAGGTCTTTGTGTGAGGTCTGGGAAACTGGCTTATTTTCTAGAACAATAGGTGGTTCTGAAATCAGAAGATCATCCTCCCCAAAGGAGTTCTGGTCCGTGTTCACAAAGTTAGGGATGTCAAACTTCATGAGCCTGTTCAGCTCCTCTTCTGTGCTCCTGCTGCCTCTGACGGCTTCCTGGAGCTGCACATCGCTGTCAACAGCCGTGGTCTGGTGACATGCTTTGGCCCTGTCCAAGCGTTCCACTTCATTGATGTAGCAGTGAAAGAGAGATCTAGACTCTTCATTGCCCTGGTGGGAAAACACTTTGTCTGGCTCCAGAGGTTTTCCAAAGTCTGACACAAAGCTGTTCATTCGGAATCGCTTCTCTGAAGACTCTACATTGCTGTAAAGAAAATGAAAATAAGATTACAACTTACTCACCTGGAGGGGTTATATGCAAGCAGCCAGCATATTTCCACTAATCACCTACTGAGTATCCTTTTAAGAGCAGGCATAAAAACAACAGAAATGTGACACATCACTTTTGAACATGTGTAAACAAACTTGTAAGAAATGTCTCAGATGAGAGCTCCTGGATTATCCTAAAGATAGACGCTTTATTAAAGAATCTTCCAATATTGTGCATGTACATGGGTATACCTCAGTGGATTCTTAGATCTGCTGCCTCAGAATTAGTTGAAATGCTTCTTAAAATGCAAATCCTTGGTTTACAGAAACTCAGGTCCTCTGGAGGTAGACTAAGCAATCCATATTTTTATAGAATTCCCAAGGATCATTACAATACAAGCTTAAGAACAGTGGTGTACATCACAGTGGCTTGAGCAACAACAATGCACACTAGAGGAGTATTTGTCACTTACTACTTGTCAAAGCACTTTAGTATCCATTTATTTCATTTAATTTTCAAAACTGAGCAGTGTAGTCACTTAGGGCAAGAATTTTTGTATCTATATTACAGAACAGAACCTGCCAAGACCAGGATGTGAAGACCATGGTCAGTGAACATGTAATCTTCCTGGTGATTCCTGCTCTGAGATCTCTTCTTTCCCAACACTCAAGACCAAGACTTATCAAATTCTTAATAGGAAGGGGAACATGGATTTGATTTATAGGCATGAGCAATCTGGTCTACATCACCAGCCTCCAAATTATCAAGAATCATAGTCCAGAGGTTGGCAACCCTAGGAGCTTTGCCATTCAGTTACCTGGGTATAGAATTTCAGATTATCGCCTAGAGTGATTCCCTGGCTAACACCTTGTTGCTGTTGTTAAACAACAAGGCTACTTAATTAATTAATCACTCATTAAAAAACTGTGTTGTGAAGCTCAAAGTTTTATATGAGTATAATCTTCATTCACTTTGTCATTTATTATAATTCAGAGATAAATTGCTTTAAACATGTGCTTTAATGCAAATTTAAGTGTCTTTCAGTCAATGACTCTACAACTGTCCCTTCACTTGGTTTAAAAGATGCTCAAGAACAGGATGAAAGTGCCAGCACCCTGAGACTTACTAAGCTAAAATGGCAAGGGAAGGGGGGGGCGGATAACGTGTTTAGAAAGAGTGTCATTAAGATAGCTTGGACCCAAACCATTCCCAGATTCCAGGGCCAAAGAGCTTTCCTTGGGATGATATAAGCACCACAGCAGAGCTGAAACCCAGATGACTCCCACCTTTGGCAAGAGTTTTGTCCCTCCCCAGGGCAGAGCCAGGGCAGTGTACACAACAGCCCCTCTGTGATGCCTCCCCTGCCCCACTGTGCTAAACCACTGCTCCACCTGTTCTTAGCCTTGTCTCAATAATCTGTTGGTGGGGGCTGGGGATTTAGCTCAGCGGCATAAGCGCCTGCCTTGCAAGCAGGCAGTCGTGAGTTCGATCCCCGGTACTGAAAAAGACAAAAATAATAATAATAATCTGTTGGTGATAACAGTGCAATTTTCTTCCCCCTAAAAGCAGAGAAATGTTCATCATTGAAATCTGAGTCTGGTTAAACATCGAACACTCAATATTCTCTCTCTCTCTCCCTCCCTCCCTCCCTCTTTCTCCTTCTCTCTCTCATTAACTGATAAACTAAAGGATTTATACAATATTCCCTCACATCTGTACTTTCATCTTCCATGGCTCCAGTTACTTGTGGTCTAATATTAATAGAAAATTTCAGGAATAAACTGTGTATTATAAATTGACATTCTAAGTAACATAATGAAGTCTCATGCAGTTCCACTCTAGGAGAAATGAATCATCACTCTGTCCAAAGTATCCATGCTATATATGCTACTCACCCTATGGCAACTGAGAGAAACAGAGAGTGCACATTTACATAAATTTTATTGCAGTGTACTTTTATAATTGTTCTACTTTATTATTGTTGTTAATTTCATAGTCTATCTAATTTATAAGTTATACTTTAACATAAAGGATTCAGTATTACCTATGGTTGTAGACATCTATTGGGAATGCTGGAACATATGTCCCACAGATAAGAAGAACTACTTTATAAAGAAAATGTGTGACCAGGAATACCACTTTCTTCAATTCTGTTACTATTCACTATCCAATTCAGTTACTATAGCACCAGTGGGTAAAATTTCTGACTAAGACTTCAGAAATACAAAGACCTTAAATATAAAATAAAACTTAGTAAGTTTTTATTAATATATATCCATGAAACTATCATTCTAACCAAAATATAAAACACACACTTTACCCTAGAGCACTTTACCCTTCCATTCAATTTCTACCACTTCAGGTAATAATGTTTTGATTTTCTTATTTCCACTGATTGATTATGCCTGCTCATAAATTTCCTATTGATATCCACCTCCTACAGGGATCTATTTTGGTATTTCTCACTATGGATTAATTTACCTATTCTTTACATTCATGTAAATGAAATCATACAATATATAGGCCTTTGTGCCTGGCTGCTTTTCTCAGTATGTTTTTGTGATCACTCATGTTGCATGTAACAATAGTTTATTTTTTCTTTGCTGAATAATACTCTATTGTAGAAATACTCTACAGTCTGTTTATTCAGTCTCTTCTTGAAGGAGATTTGTGCTGTTTCTAAGTTGAAAGTGTTGTAAGTCAACCACCAGAAACATTACTGAACAGTGTCTTTGTGGGCATGTACATTTACTGATTCTGAACAAAGTACCTAAGAGCCGAATTACTGGGTCACATAGGAGATGTATGTTTAACCTTTGTGGGGTTGTTTTGTTTGGTTTTGTTTTGGAGGCAGGGTCTTGCTACATAGTTCAGCTAGGCCTTGAACTTACTTGTAGCCCAGGCTGGTCCTCCTGCCCCAACCTCCTGAGCGCTGGGACTACCAGTATGTACCACCACATCCAGAATGTATGCTTAACTTTTTGAGAAACTAAAAAATGTTTTACAAAGTAGTTGTTCCATTTTATATTCCCATCACAATGAGAAGTACAGATTGTTCCACACTCTTGCCAACATCTAGTGTTGTTAGTCTTTTTAATGTTGGTCATTCTTATGGGAGTGAAATAGCATCTCTTAATGATTTTAAATGCATTTCTCTGATGTCTAATAAAACAAATAGGTTTATGTTTTCTGATGTGTCTGTGTCTGGCCTGCTTAGAAAATTTGTTTGGGGTTGTTGATTTCTAGAAATTTTATAATATATCCTGAACATAAATTCTTTGTCTGATATATAGTCTGCATTAAAAATGTATGCATTAGGAAAAGAAAAAAAATTGTATAAACATTTTAATGCTAAATTTATTGAGACATCATGAGATTAATAATACAAGCTACATTGGGCCTCTACAATTACAAGTGGTGCTCCAAGCAGTAGCCATTGGCTACTGCTAATGACATTTATTAGTATGATGAACTGTTGAAGTATGCATATATTTTTCAGCAGATTCTATTTATGGGTTCTACTGGACAGGATTGCTCTAGAATTAGTTACTTGAAAAGATATAATTCATGTTTAAATTGTGCCAAGGTTTATTTTCTTTGAGTTGATTCAGTGGCTTCTCTATGAGTTTATCTAGTAGTTTAAAAATCAATTTCATTTCAATTGACCTTACACAAAAATCACTGTATTTCTATGTCTGTAATGAACAATAAGAAAATTAAAAAATAATTCCATGATAGCATCAATAATTACTTAGGAATAAATTTAGAAAAGTATGTTTAAGACTTATACACTGGAAAATTTCAAAAACAAAGTGAAATTAGGGGAAACCTAAGTAGATGGAGAAATGGACCGTGCCTGTGGACTAGACTTTGGGTACAAAGTCACATAACCATATGCATCTTCTTGTTAGTGCCAAAGTTTTTTTCTTATGTTCATTTACCAATATAGCCCAATGACTTCTTTTTTATATTTTGTTCAGATTTTACAATTGTTATCTGCAAGATTATTCTGTGATAAGCTACTCTGCCTTAAGGGACTGCACTCAGATGCCTAATGTTTTTTGGCCCTTTTACATATGGAACCATATCCTGCAAGAAACCCTCCCTGACTCTTCCACTCTAGGATAGGATATTCCTATTTGTTTCCTCACTCTATACTATGCTTATTTCTTTACTTCTCTATCATCATCATCTTGAAGGCAAGCACTGTGCATTTTTTGTCTATGTCCCAAGTATCTATAATAGCACTAGACATATAATAGCTACTCAATACACTTTCATGAATCAGTATTGAAGAGATCTTCATAAACTAAAGTGACCCTTGCCTTGATAGAACACCTCTTCTACAACTTCTACAAGATCAGAAATAAGTTCAAGGACATGCCCAGCAAAGGCTAAAAGCAGAAGCACATAAACATTAATGGAGAGATGGCTGATCCTCAGTGTAGACTTCAGAATCAGTGATACAGGAGGTCCAATAAACCAATCAATCCATCTCTCTCCCACGGCTATATCCGGCTAAAAGAAACACCCTGTCTCTTCTTCCCATTATACTCCACAACCCTAAACTGTGCCCTAGGGCTTCACTCAGTGGTTCTTGGAACTTATAGATGAGCAGGCATCTTGCACTTTCCACAATGGCCAGCCAGGGATGGTGTGGGGACTCAGAAGTTGTGGGGGAGACTGCCTGCTATGTATTGGGATAAATGGATTCAAGCAAAACAGTGAAAAAACTACCTTTTAGAGAATTCCAGTCTTTTTATGTTGCTGTAGTTTAGTTTTTTGAGACACAGTGTCGCTATGTAGTTCAGGCTGGCCTTGAACTCACTATGCTGGGATCACAGGTGTACACCACCACACTTGGCAAGAAATCTCCAATCTTAAAACAGCCTGGCCCTCATGAATCACACCTGAGAATATTCCAACATTTAATGTAGGAAATATTAAAACACTTAAATAGGCAGCAAAAAGACTGCAGCTGGGCATTGCCTTCA